ATTACGTCCACAAGGAGCTCTAGGCACAGCTTCCTTTTGCGATATAAATGGAATTGAAAATTTCCCCATCAAGTTATTCCACGTTTTTATAAGTTCAAACATAATATTTTACACCAATATATAGTCAAACTTGTTACATATTCATAGTACCAACACATAAACATAGACCTAATGGCTTGTCCCTGCTAAAACAATTGCAAAATGGCGGCGACGAGTGTTGACGTGTCTGACGTGACGGACCAGGTGCCGTTGGACGTGGAGGGGGACATCACCGTCCCCGGGGCGCCTCCCGAGATGGACGAGGACGACTTCTCCACGCTAGACGAGCCGGTGAAGGACACCATTCTCAGAGATCTGAAGGTAGCCATTGTATGACTGAGTGTAGAAGGGGAGGGGGGCAACGTTGGCTAGAACTCATTAAACAGGTGTTTATAATTTGTTTACAGGTGTTATTGTTTACGTCTCAGGTGCCTTCGCCGTTGACATATTACCCGCTACCATGCATTAGTACTGCACAAATATTTGTGAACCACGTTATACAGCAATAACGTTATAATATAGCCGTGGCGACTCTTGATTCGGGCTTACATTGCATTACCCTCAGCAAGAGTCGTGGAAAGATTCATTGGCAGAACTGCACATTTCCCGTTGGCTGCTCGATGCTCCGTTTTTGACCCGGTTTTTTGCTGTCCCGAGCTTCCCTACAATGTAACTCCACAATTGGCCGGGTTGCCGATGTTCAGATCGGCCCAAATATTCCACAGCGCGACCAAAAACTACCTAACCTCACTTATTTACGCTCCGCGCGGCCATCTTGAATATAGTCGGGAATGTCCGGTGCAGTCGTCGGGAACGCTCGGCAGGCTTTCCGGTTATGATCGGAGAGTTTTCGGTCGCGCTTCGGTAATCGTGACGCTTCCGAGCGTTCCCGACGACTGCACCGGACATTCCCGACTATATTCAAGATGGCCGCGCGGAGCGTAAATAAGTGAGGTTAGGTAGTGTTTGGTCGCGCTGTGGAATATTTGGGCCGATCTGAACATCGGCAACCCGGCCAATTGTGGAGTTATATTGTAGGGAAGCTCGGGACAGCAAAAAACCGGGTCAAAAACGGAGCATCGAGCAGCCAACGGGAAATGTGCAGTTCTGCCAATGGATCTTTCCACGACTCTTGCTGAGGGTAATGCAATGTAAGCCCGAATCAAGAGTCGCCACGGCTAGTTATAATACAAAAATTATGTCCTTGACTCCTTGTGACCAAGGAGGTTAAATACAATTTTGATTTTTAACCTCCTTGGTTATACGTTTTCTATGTGCCATATGTCATTACATCCAGTCTGTACTTTCAGGCAGTAGGGAAGAAGTTTGTCCACGTGTTGAACCCACTGAAAGGAAGCCGGTCGTTACTGAGAGAGTGGGACCTGTGGGGACCGCTGGTGCTGTGTGTCATGGTGGCACTCTTACTACAGGGGGACAACGCAGCAGACACCGGAGCTCCGCAGTTCGCTGAGGTAAGCCAATGGTGCTACAGCGAAGTAATGCAGTAGACAGGTTACGTTCTTTCTGGTTAATCAAGAAAACATGAGGTTGAAGAAAAAAAGTGAGAAAACAAAATAAAAAGATGGAAATAAAAAAGTGAAGGAAGAAAATAGGAGAGATGTGTTATCCGTCAAAGTTTTGGAAATAGCAGCTGTTGAAATTTGAACATTTCACCTGAAGAAGCCCAGTACAGTACTTGATATACGCATTGCTTGTCACAGGTGTTTGTGATCCTGTGGGTGGGTGCTGTGGTAGTGACCTTGAACTCCCAGCTGCTTGGAGGTCAGCTGTCGTTCTTCCAGAGTGTGTGTGTCCTGGGCTACTGCGTCCTCCCTCTCAGCATCGCGCTCATCGTGTGCAGAATTATCCTGGCAGCCACCGCTACACAGACTATCGTTTTGTTCGCCATACGTTTTGTAACCGTGCTCCTTGGGTTCGCCTGGTCGACCTTCGCAGCCATGGCCTTCCTGGGAGACAGCCAACCAGTCAACAGAAAAGCTCTGGCAGTTTATCCAATCTTCTTGTTTTACTTTATCATCAGCTGGATGATAATATCACATACACACTCAGACACCTAGTGTTCAGACTAAAGTGAGATTTTAGACAGAAACAGTCTAGTTTTGGTCCTTATTGATACTAATTATGGTTGATGGCTTTCTTTCTGAAGAACACTCTAGTCAAAGGGTAGCTAGATGCTAAGAAGTAAAGTTGATGGGCTTTTTATTATTGGTCAATACTAGTAATTCAACTTGATTTCCAACAAGTTATTTCATATTCATAGGTAGTAAAGTTTGTTTTTGTATTATGTTGTGTCTTCTGTGCCATGACTGGAAAGAAAGCCTGTAATGGTGACAAGGAATTTATATATTGAAGGGTATGTGTATATATAGATGTTAAAATTACACTTTATAAGAGGTATTAAAAGGATGTAATTCTTTCATCAGAAGAGGCAGACCACAAGGTGACTTGTTATTTTGTGTATTGATCAAAATTTTATTTATTTCAAAGTTGGGCTTAAGTCATGTAATAAGGAGTTGACTTTTCAACCATATCATGTATTGTTTTGTCAATTTGCTAGATTGTAAAGCGTTTTTTTTTGGTGTGCACATGAAGATATGGCACATGGATTTGTTATTACATATAAGAGAATATCTGAGTATTTATAGACTAAGTCATTGTTGAAGGTCAGATCTCAAGAATCAGAGATTCAAGTTATTGTACAATCAGGTATATATGCAATCATATGATAACGTTTTGCTGCTGGAAAAGGGATATACTTGTTACAGTTAAAGATACCACCTACTGTGAAGTCATCATTACTGTATGAATAAATGTCATGCCTGTATGGATGATACACCAAATACATTTGTACAACTAAGCCTTTCTGTTGTACCCATTGCATTTCTTTGCTAAACAGTAATACAGAAAGTAGTTTGAAATCCTATGAGTAATGAACACAAATGACATGGAAAGTTAATTGTTATATCCTTCTACTATTTCAGTATGATGGTTCATCACAATGTAGTTATGAGGCTCAGCATGTTTACAAAGTAAGTTTGCATAATTTATACAATCCAACATGATACCAATTTCCATCTCAAAATATACAAACAATTCCTTTACAAGCATGTTGTCAGAGGTACCTAATGTACAGTCAAACGCAACACGCAACAAAATATTATTTAATTACATGTATATTCATGATAGAATATCAATATTCTTACATCATTGCACAATATGAAATAGGTCATCAATGCCAAAGTAATTACCAAGTAAGAATACAAAACCTATATGCATAACAGTCTAACATCAACAGACTAGAAGTAGTAAAACTGTAGAAGATACTATCATCTACAGAACTGTCTCCATCTCCAACCTGCTGTTCCTGTTATTACACGGACTCGTCTCATCAACAAAACATAGCTCTTCACAGTCATCCTCAGCAATAACTGTGCTGTCATCAGAAAACGTGGACCTTAGTCTGTTGTAGTCAGCAACGCCGTCAGACAGGGTGGACCTCTGCCGGCGGAACCCGAAGCGGACGATAGAATTGGAGACAACACTGTCAGCCACGACGGAGCGCTGGCGAAGCAGTTCCCAGGCTGAGCTCTGCCTGCTGAGGACTCTCTTCTTGGGCATGTTGTAACGGAGCTCGCGCCAGAACCGGTGGTCAGTCCTGTTCTCGGCCTCATCTGACCACTTGATGCACGTGACGGCCTTCATCAGCTTCTGAACCTGCTCATTGAATATCTTCAGTGTCTGGAAAAAAGTGTCCACACCAATAATAACACTACTTCATCTCAAACAGAAAGTGGGGGAGACAGGACTTTAGATCACACACAATGCACTCCTAAGTGCTGTAGATTTTTCACCTTACACAAGCAGTTCCATAAATATTCATGTGCACCTAAAAGTTATCCTCATGCAGATGTTGAGATGGAAAATTGTCATGTTTCCTGGCAGCTACAATGTAGTCTTGCAGTTAGGAAAATGGTACAGCCAGAAAATGCTGTGATTTTTCCTCCCAAGATTTTCTTGAAGATTTAACTTTTTTTAACACAATTTAATTACCTCAAAGTCTTCCTGGTCCTTGATTGGCTGGTATTCAATCATAACAATTCTGGCCTTCTCCCGCAGCATCTCGTCCAGAGCGACACACGATGCAAACTTCATCCACTGGTTCTTCACGTAGTTAGGAGACAACACGAACAGCACTCGGCGAGACCGCTCAATGAACTCAACATAGTCCTCATATTTGTCTGGGTGTAGACAAGTGAATCTATCATTACAATACTACACAGAACAGAGCTTTATTTAGGTTTACATGATTTCCCTTATTTTGTACAAAGAAAACATGGTTACAAACATTACCTGATATTATGTGAAGCTTACCTGACCCTCCAATAAAGTCACGATGTTCGATCCTGACCACACAGCGACAGGTTTTCTCCAGGAAGGGCAGGAGTAGGTTTTTCACAAACCCAAGCTGCTCAATGTCATACAGGATAAAGACATCATACTCCTTCTGACCTGGAAATAGAAGGCAGAAACAATCAAAGAAATGTGTAGAATAGTCTGCAAACATAGCTGTCCAATTAAAGAAACTGCATTGCCATAAATCCTGCTACATTTAAAACTAAAATTGCTTTATATTGCACATATGTTTTTTAAATGTTCTATCTGAGGGTGTGTTCCTTCATGTAACTTTTCTTCCATAACGTCTGTCATTAACAACAAAAAGAAAGAAATGAAAGAAGAAAGGGTACGGTCTCATACCGAGGTCAGAGAACCTGAGTTTGCCCTTTGCCCTGGAACCGTTCATGTAGCCCAGGTACTTGATGTTGAGAGGCCCTGCCTCCACCCACCTCAAGAATGGATCCTCCCCAGGAATTCCAACCTAATTGATAGAAAACAGATCAAGACATGCTGTCAGTTTTTTTGTAGTATGTATTGACAAGGAGCATTGGCTTGGATCATAAACTGGCACTTTCCAGAAAAAGGGGGTTAAGCATTTGAAGGCTTATAGTTTTAAAAACTTGAAATTGTTTGCAGTAATACTTCCCATGCCACCTCTTAACCAAAGAGAAACTTTCCAACCTCGATGTGTCCATCCTTGAAGCTAACCCAGAAGGTTTTCCATTCATCGCTGGACAGAATGTGAGGAGTGGAGGCAGAGACTTCTCTCTGGTCTGACACCTGCGCGCCACGGACAGTCTTCCGTTGAATAGCAGACCTGGTGTTGTTGTCGGAGCCGATGATGATTTCGTACGTCACACCTTCATGTCCTGCATATCAAAAAGATTTTTTCAGAACCTCAGAAAGCCCGAAAAATGTAGAATTATTAATTTATGAACGGATGATACCTATGTTTATAGCACAATTAAAAGAAATATCAGGAGAATTAAGAAGAAGTACATTAACATTGTAAAATAAAGGGGTAGTAACGTTTCATTCTGTCCATTTCCTTAAATGGTAAGCATTTTCCAAACACATCCATGCTGTTCTTGCATAGCAATTGACACTGACAGAAAGCAAACATCCGAGACTTTCTGAATGGGTATGACCTGCAGGTTTGATGCCTTACCTTTCCCCTGGGACAGCAGGACCCTGGCGTTCTCCTGAAGCTTGACGTCCATGGTGAAGTGTGTGACGTGCAGCTCCTGTTCGTGGAACAGGTAATCCTCGTCACCACCAGACGTGTACTCTATGGTGTCTGCAATACAATATACATTATCAATAGCTCAATTAATCACCGTTATGTCAATAGACCACCTGTTGATTGACTTGATCAAACAGATAGCATAGCATCCACTCAATGACATAGTTCAACATCATTAAAACGTTTACCTTAAAAGGTCAAAATATGAAAATACTTACATTATTCACTTCAGCTGTCACATACTGATGATTAATATGGTATGTACAATTAATGTATGTTGCCTTGCTAATTTTTACTGTATCAAAACTATAATATCCAACGACAATGTTTGCCATATGTAAAGAAAGACATCCTCGATCTGATGTGTGATTCCATAGCTATCCGACATGAAGACTATTCTACAATTCATAAATGACAGCTATTAATGAGATTATTCTGACAAATTTGAACTTGCAAACAACAAAAACAACAGATACCTCCTTCCTCAAATGGCATGAACTTGTCCTTAATCATTAGACGTATCTCGAGTTTCTTCCAGTAATACACCATGGCCAGGAGACATAACGTTATCAGCACAGCACCGCCCCCTGCCGCCCCATTCCTGTACTGCTGCATTTTCTCTCTCACATCATCCCCGAAGACGGGAGGAGCGTTGGGATCTGATAGGATGTAATTGAGATACGTCATGCTTCAGATGTCTCAAAGATGACATGATTACCGCCAACCACTTATATTTATGGGAAACAACGACAGTCTTGGACATAATTTTGTAGATAAGGGTATCAATTATTAACTCCTGCTGCAAAGTCTGCCTTGTCCCCCCGACGACCAGTGTCGGTCATGGGACTAGGTAGGTAGGTAGGTATCAATTATGCCCGCATATCATTGTACTCCTGGTTCAGCGTTCAAATTGCTACACCTTAGACAACTGATACAAAGAAGTTGAACATACATGTAAAGTACCTGAAGACGTGCAAGCGATCTGTAAACGTGAAACAAGAATGTGGTACTTTGCATCTTGTCGTTGTGCAAGCTAAGCATGTGAGCACTGCAAGCCTCCTTCACTTGGGGTTCTTCCCATTCACTACTCTTCAAATACCTTTAAATTTAGTGGAAACCATAAAGTGGCCACATGGCAGACTTTCTTGGGGGAAAATGACACAAGCTTAAAGATCTAGAATCATCTCACCGTCCCCCTCCCTCAGCTCGACCGGTACTGTGTGGTTACCGTACTCGTTCTTAGCCACGCAGGTATACTTCCTGTAATCTCCAGGCCGGATGTCGGTGATGAACAGGGCCCTGGTCACGTACACTTTCCTTTCCTTGTCCTCCCTAAAATTATAAGTAAAGTCGATTTAACAAAAACAATGATGCCTCAAACGTTGAAAAATGACGTTCCGTTTTCCTGCTTTTCCATTTATGTCTTGAACACACGAGGATCCATATTGACAAAGAAGGTTTCACTCATGATCACTTACACACTCAGTACCGTGGCCGTAGAAGGTTTCAGAGCATGCAAAGGAGCTTTTTCATGCCTTAGAAAAATTCTTTCCCATGCGAGCTGCCAGAGAGGCTTTCCAAAGCAAGCGGTGAATATGGTGCACGCCAGTTAAAACTCACCTCTCGATATGCGGTCCCTCGTGGTGAATCCTGCCCGTATCTTTGATAAAGGCGCCGTTGGTGATCCAGTACACCTGTGTGATCACCTGCTGTACGCCCATGTACGCCCTGCAGGTGATGTTGACGTTCTGTCCCGGCCGGCGGTACTCCACACACGGATCGGAACAAAATGGTTGTTGGATGTTGGGTGAGTGTTTGGTCTTCGCCGCTGGTGAGGATACATGTGACAGGAACTTTATGACCGAGGAAATCGCACCAATTCTCCAAGAGAAGAGTTCTCTCGGTTAGTATTACAAGGATAGAAAAGTACAAACAAGACAAGGGGCTGCACATGTATTGTAAGATAAGTTTTCCTTTAACCCTAAACGAACGCAATTCTAGGTTCTGAGCAGTGGATAGTTCATTTTCGTAAAGAAAAATTTTATATGGTTTTCATAAGACTCTTATCAAGTTGTAGAGCATCACTGATGTATTTATTCACCGTCTTATGAAAAATGAAAGTTTTAAGGACTACTTGTGCAATCTCATCGGTTGTTTGTATAACATTCAAAAAGGAACATTGCTGACTCGACAGTTACAAACACATACAGGCAGGAGAAAAGAATTGTACTGACGTTTCACGTGGAGTGATATATATCCGACCAGTCGCTCCGTCCCGTTCACCCCCTCACATCGGTACGTGCCGTTATCCGGATCTATCTGTACACTGTCTATCTCCAACGTCTCGCGTAGGTCTCCTCTCAGTGTGATCCTTTCTGAGGGTGGGTCCGTCCAGGGGAACTCTCTGCCATCTTTGTACCAAGAGAACGGGCTGTTGGGAAAGATGCAGTCCGCTAGGGGGCATCTCATCTGCACCTCTTCCTCTTCGTAAGCCTTGTGAATCTCGTGTTCATCAATATAGTCACATGGATCTGGTTCTTCTGTGAAACAATATTTTACGTGTAAGTAATAAGATGACTGGGACATTTACAAAAAAGACAAGTACAAATTCGTGGTCTTGAGAGAGTGACTATCTTAAGTATCTATTTCCTAGAATCACTTCAACCAAGCTTATAAGTTTAAATGATTTAGACTTAACGAGAACACAGTCTATAGGAAATATCAAGGAAGTCTTTTCAACATGAAATCACTCAAACTTGGTGAAATATCAATCATGTCCAAATTGTTACCGTAGTCCCAGTTATCATCATAGCCATCAGTTGAAGAGTCGAGCGTTGGAGCGACCGTCAAGGGAGACGCAGATCTTGCGAAAAGAAGAATCGCAAACACTGTTCCGAGCACCATCTACAGAATATGAAAACATATCTATGTTTCAAAACAAGAACCTTTTTTTTTTCAGGAAAACCCTTTCGTCACTTTTTTTCCGCGCACTACCACGGAATAAATTATAATTAATGATGTTCATCTCCACTTAACTTGCAAATACCCTAAGTACTAGAATGAAATTCACTTTACCTCCAAATGTCACGAAGCTATCTCAAATTATCGTGACCACAATCTAACAAACAACAAACACACACACCAAACACACACAGACGCCAACAATAAATAACCCTTTTGCTGAACATAACCTTAAAGTTAACACCAAGTAATACTAAAAAAAACTGTGCCTGACGAAGGCATGTGTTCAGGATGCCCTGAGGAGAATGACAGACAGAAACATTAACACACTAAAATATATGGTTGTAAAACTAAGGAAACTATTTAAATTGATTTACAAACCCGATGAAACTATTTACGGAACGGAAACATTTCTGTTTCCCATTTTTTATATTTGCCCGTTTCCTGGTTCTAGCCTCCTATGCTGACTTACGGGTTGGTCTTTGTATTTATCATATGCTAATTTCTGAAGTTCATCAAGCATGCGCCTATACTTTTAAACACATTTGCTGTCATAAACATTTTGAACGCCTGTTGAGTGGCATATCCGAAATGTTCCACAAAGCGAACAATGAGCTGCTCAATACCCCCCCCCTAACATTGCCACAGTGGACTCGTCCTAAGGTGGGGTGTCGACCGACCTGTTTGTTTTGTTTACGTAGTTTCTTCTGACGTCATCTGACCTTTCTGTTGACGGTTTGTCTTGCTGCCGACCTGCGGACTCCACCACCCGTTCTGATCGTCCACATTTACCGGTGGAAACTCCAGCTTAATCAAGTCGCGCCAACTCGTTTCTGATGCATTTGATCTCTTGTGAAGGGCGCTAAATGTTATACTTATAGACTTCAACTATTGTGTGCATCGTTTCTATGATGAGTGTAGAATATGTGCTTCTCAAGTTGTACCTTGTTGGACCCTTTACGCGCTGAACACACAATGGTACGTGAGAGTATGTGAAGGTTTACAAGTAGGTGCAGGCGGCCATGTCCCCTTACAACGCTCAACAGCAGGATTTCCTTTCGAGAGACGTATTATAGATTCAGCTTGGTACATGTGTAGTAAAATACGGAAATGAACATTATGATGGTTACTTTTCTTTATCCTTAGCCGTACAAGTTTGTCCCTTAGATTACCCACAGAGAACTGATCCTGCAAGAAGGTAGAGTACTCAAAACACTATACTTCCCACAGACGTCCCGCCGTTGGATTAAATTTGACTGTTGCATGCCAGTACCGGTACCAAAAGTTTGAAAATAGGCGACGTATTTTAGTACCGCTACAGAAATGTTTCATGTTGAAACTGAAAAATCGATGTAGATCTGGTAGCGAATCTTCACCCCTAATAAGGCATGTCACATGCATTGACAAAGCACGACGTAGCCCCACAAGACACCAAACATCTTTCTAAACCCATGTTCATCAAGCTTTTTATCAAGAACAAGTGACAAACCTGCTAAACAATATTGTCACTTGTATTGAGATAATCCACTCACCTTGTTCACTGTGCGATGTACTTCAGGCAGCCCAATTTAAACATTCAAGATGGAGCACGTCTTTGACTTAAAGAAGGCGTGACGAGAACACGTCTTTAGGTGGCTAGGGCTTATAAGTGAATGGATCTTGCTTTTTGAATCCTGCAATCCGTAGTACGGGTGTCTGCTGCCTCTGTCGAATAACATGAGACGGAAAAGAAACCCCAAAGACTTCTGGTTTCTGCAACGCCTGTACGCAGCTGGTGTGTTACGCCGAACGGCGGTTATACCGGCTATATAGATACAGATACCTGTAGCGGAACGCCCACGTGGGGAAGTGAAAGGGGAACTCCCACGACTTCCCTGTTTTGCGCACTGGCGTACGTTGTTTTATTAAAGAACCTTTGCAGCAACAATGCTCAGACAGGTGATCTAGGAACAGAAACTAGGTAGTTGTTGTTCGTTTCTTGTCTTATTACCGCCATGAGTAACGGAGGTATTGTTTTTGGTCTGTGTGTGTGTGTGTGTGTCTGTGTGTGTGTGTCTGTGTGTGTCTGTGTCTGTGTACATGTGTCTGTGTCTGTGTTTCCGCATTTGTAGTCAGCATAACCTCAGAACGCCTTTATGGATTGTGATGATATTTAGTTTGTTGATAGGTCGTAGGAAAACAAAGTTCAAGGTCAAATATGGGCCTCCTGGTGGCTGACGATGGTACTTGGAACTTGGTACTGCAGCAAAAGATCCGGTGTTTGTGTCCTTTGTCCTGAACATACTATGGTCTTGACTTTTTGGCGACAGATAGCTTTTCCTGTCAGGAATAAGTGATGTGGGTTTTCCCAACTAGCAGCTCGTTCTGGAACTGCAGTGGAGTTCCTGTCGACATCTTTTAAAGCGGATAAGACCAGAAAGGAACAAATTATCTTATCATCTATGGCATATAGGTAGCTAAGAGATATGTACATAATTATGTAACCCTAATTTAGGGTTGGCTAATTTAGGGTCATGTAACCCTAATTTAGAGTTACGCTAACCCTAACCCTGTAGTTATGAACTCATTTCCCACCTCAGCTGACTCCATGCTTGCTGACTTGCTGGTTCTCAATGCAGAATTTACGTCATGCCTGACGCTATGATGTACTGATGTCTCGTGCAGAATCGATATCTTACTGGTAGATTACCTAAACTCTCAAGGCCGCATTCTATCACAAGCTGTAGCTAATAGCTAAATCGCCACCCTTCCTTGCCAAATACGAAATGTACTTGAATTCATACTGTTCGCAAATCTTACTGTTGAACATGATGTACATTGACAGCGGATCAACAAGCAATTATGATAGGTCACCTCCTCCCTTTGATGTACTGCGCCTACTGATCTTATGCTCACCATGACACTACACAACCGGTACATCTGCAAATTATCAATACATGGATTCACCCACACATGGTATCAAATCAGTTCTTGGTATACCGCTCCAAAAGATTCTCTCTGCTGTCCTATATTTGACTAAACCTCCTAATCCACGGATTTGTTTGTAACCACTATATCGAGATGAGGTACGTTAACATTTCAATTCATCGAAAATGTCTTTATCAGCTCTATATTTGCCCATGTTTTGTATGCTGCTTCTTTTCTGTTTCACATGTGATACGTGTACGGCCTTGGGAGTGTTATCTTGACTTCAAGGGTACAGCTGTCCGGCTGCGTAAATAGTGAACGTCACAGATAGGACTAAGTACGTTTTACCAAGAAGCGATAGATATAAGTACGACGTTCAGACAGCATTATCCTCGTCGGCTATTTTCTACATGTGCACTTTGTGGTAACTTTCTGCAGAGACTTGCCGCATGATGTTTGTTCCTTCTAGGCGGTGGGTGGGCATGCTGAAATGCTGGGGCAGAAGGAAGATGAGCGCCGCACTAGCAGCAGGACTGATGGAGGCTGACGAGGGACTTGCCCGGAGGAACACACCTTTTCACGCGATACCAGGGCCGCCAAGCCTGCCGCTCATCGGTCGGCTAAAGGACTACTCTTCTTTAGGTGAAGTCAAAGGATGTCTGTCATTTTTTTCCTTCTTCACAAACACGTGAATGTATCGAGGTAAAAAATATCAAAGACTCAGATGCAGTAGATCCGCGTTGGCAAGGCAACCATTTTAAAACGCTTTTCTATTCATCTGATATGAAATATTCAAGACATACCTGGCCAAACCATGGCATGTTAAACTAATATCTAGAATGTAATTTTAGATATCCGACACCCGAGGCGCAAACACATGGTGGGTACGTGATGCGAATAGATATATGTACTACTAACGTTATCCGATAAGAGAATTGTAGACATAGCTTGTTGAAATGGTTTGGCCTTGAAGAAGCGATTCTATGCGTATATGTGTCCACAAGGATCGTTCGTCTGAACACAATGTACCGATCTCTGTAGGTATTCTTATTCTTTTATAATTACTTGCCGTTACGACGCTCAGGCCGTTACGGAGTGGGCAGGCTTCACGAGCGCCATCTTGACCTTCACCGTCAGTATGGTGACATCTGCAGAGAGAAGCTCCTCGGGCGCGAGATCGTTCACGTCTTCTCTCGAGAGATTGCACAGGAAGTCTTCATGCAGGTTTGACGCTTGTATTCATGACATCGGCACTAGCTAGTATCCATAATAAAACTCCAATTATAGAGGTGGCATTAAGCTTATTATATTGTGTATGGTATTCAATATACCTGGGGGGGGGGTGTATAGCCATCATGTTTTGAGGTATTTGTGATTTGTTTCTGCGCTTTGATGAGATTTGTTGATAGGCGCTAGGCCATGACAACATGTGTTACTGAAGTTCCGCGCCACCTATCGGGATCTATTATTTTGCACGTTTTCTGGACTACGTATGAAGCTATCCTAATTAAGAAAAAAACACTGTAACAAACATAGAGTTTATCTTCAGGAAGGCCGGTACCCCGGACGGACCGTGATCGAACCTGATGTGGTGTACAGGACGGGACGGGGCATCCCGCTGGGACTCCTCAACCTGTAAGACTGACTTCTAGATCTATAGGCTTGTGTAATGATACACGTACCTAGCACCATAACGGGCACAAAATTTACACTCCAGTCAATGTATGGATCGGAGTGTACACTGGGGCATACATGTTTGCATGCAATGGGTACAAAATTGTAGCATGTATGATCTCCTTCGGTCAAAATTGACAACGGTAAAATCCTAATTGATAACAGCCCATTTGTAGTGTAAAACCTGTAGTGTACAACCTTTGTAGTATTGTAGTATACAACCTTGACAAGGTACAGAAAGGTCTCACAAGGCCCGACAATATTGGTGCAGACGCCATATCGCTGCTATATCTTCCAGACAAGACGCGGAATGGCACCGTCTAAGACGTCTGGCTCAAGACAGGATCCTCCGGCCGGCCGTGCAGAGTGCCGTCCTCCACAACATGGACAACATCGCTCAGGAGTTCGTCATGAGGACCGACATGCTCCGCGATCCAGGAAGTGACGTCATGGAGAGAAATTACAAGGACGAGCTGCACCTGTGGTCCTTGGAATGTGCGTAATCTACAAATGTACATCTGGAGATTCTATAAGGATGAAAGAAGTATAGTAACGAAAAATGGCATCATCAAACATGTTGATTTTTTGTCGTTGTTAGGATCTAATTACTACATCAACAACAACACGGTGGATGGAGTTTGTTATTTTAATTTTTCGTATAGATAAACAAAGAAACAAAACTTTCTGCTTACTTTCTTCCGCAGCTATTGCCCGCCTGGCTTTCGGGATACGTGCTGGCTGTCTAGGCATGGATTTGACCGAGAACTCAGACGCGATGCAGTTGGTCCGCAGCACACAGATGTACTTCCGCTGCCTTGGGAAGCTGATTTTTAGTCTTCCCTTGTACAAAGTAGTCCCCACTCCCACCTGGAGAAGTATGGCATCAGCTCAGGATACATTCGTAAGGTTAGATTACAATAAACTCCATTTATTGGGTAACATGTATTTATTATGCTTCGTACATTAGATTTCAGCACCTTGGACAGAACCAACCTGATGTATTAGCTCAACATAACATTTTGTACAAAACAACAGATCTATAATTAAGAAAAAAATGCTCTGGTGACCAAATTCAGCTTCTCACTCCATTTCCTCAGCGAATAACGTTTCAAGAAACATGCATAACTGATATTAATAGCTCCTGGATTAATTCTCATCCAGATTATCAGAAAATTATATCAGACAAGCGTGGAGAAATGCTGAACATGGTGACCCGGGAACCGAGGACAGCCTTCTCTTCCACCTTCTGAAGAAATCAGAGCTCAGTAAGGAGGAGGTGGGCGCCACCATCACGGACCTGTTCCAGGGCGGGATCGACACGGTACGGACAGAAAAAACTTCCTGTGTTTGTATGCGGCTTCTGTGCATTTTATTTACAACAGAAAGAACTAAGGCAATATACTACTAACAGTTCTATAGTAGAAAATGTCCGGTAATCATTTTAACATTCTGGCATTCTTATTATTGGTTATGTCTACTGAAAGCCATTGTTAAAATATTGAAATATATTTTCTTTCCATCCAGACCACCAATGGCATGATGTACAGTCTGTTCGCCCTGGCCAAAAACCCGGAGGTTCAAGACTTAGTCTACCGAGAGATCCGTACCCACCTGCCCGAGGGCGCGCCGGTCACGCCTGAGGTCCTGAGGAAAATGAAGTATCTTAAGGCAGTCATCAAGGAGACTTTGAGGTGAGGGAGAGTGTCGGAACATCTCCGGCCAAAACCAAATTGTTTGGAGACAGTTTCGTTGGCGTTTCATTTCCTATAGCACAAACTACCAACAAAGTAATCTTATTGATCTGCTATGGTACTGCTTTTGTTCTGATTTAAAAACATCCTCTACAATTATACAATCGACTAACATCATAAAACTATTTATTTTTCTCGGTCTCCGTAGATTGTGGCCGGTAATTTTTGGGAACCCCAGACTGTATGATTATGACGTTGTTCTAGGTGGCTACGACGTGCCTGCAAAGGTAAGTCCCTAATCACATCGTATGAACAACACTCTAGCACGGTGACACCTTGACGGATTCATGTGTTTTATGTTCACTTAGTATACTTAATAGCTTTAATTTTGAATACTTTTTGCACTGACAAGCTAGACATAATCACAAACAGTTATGTATGGTCAATATATGATACAAAATTACAATATTTAACGGACATCTTTGTTTACCTCTCTTGCCAGACTGAAATCCTGGTACATCATCGCGTCATGTGCCGCCAGGAGAGGTATTTCACGGATCCACTGACCTTTGACCCAACCCGTTGGCTCCGTGACGAGAACACGTCACCAGTTCCGCCGTACCTGTTCATGCCGTTTGGACACGGAGTGCGCATGTGCATCGGTAAGTAGAAAACGAGGTCTATGATTACTAATTTTTTGGGGGGACAAATCATCTGTTGTTTGAGAAATATGTAAGTCTGGAATTATACGGGGATTTTACGAGTATTTGTATTTGAAAAAAAATGAAATTCACTTTTTAAAAAGTTCATTTTCTTCCATCAGGCCGGCGGTTTGCCGAGCAGCAGCTACAGCTCCTGATTATCCGGGTAAGCAACTGACCTATATCATCATAAGATCGAGTTGAATTTTGTTAAGATAACGTTTTCTTCGTTCTCTTTCCTATTTGTCCACGTTTAGTTCCTGACACTCTTAGTTCCTTCCTCCCCAGATCTTGCAGCGGTTCCATGTGGAGTGCCAGGAGGCGGAGTTGGGGCAGGTCTTTAGTCTGGTGCTGCTGCCCGACAGGAACCCGCGCTTCGTCTTCCGCCGCAGGCAGGGCCACACGGCGTGGGCACCGCAGGCATGGACACACGGCGTAGGCACGACAGGCAGGGACGCACGGCGTAGGCACCGCAGACAGGGACACACGGCGTAGGCACCGC